ACAAGGAAGGCACTGAAAAGCTGACTAGAAGCTTGGTATGCATGGGGAAGGCTGGTTGTACTTTAAGATAATCTGATTGGATCGTTTCCTTATGTGACCCCTTATATGCATCTAATTTTTCAAGCTTTCCCCACCTCAGGGCCTTAGAATATGCTCTTTCTGTTGCTTGTGTATTGATTAAAATGTATTTGGCTGAAGTAACAGAAATCTGACTCAAGGCAGCTTACACAAAAAAATATAGTTCTCATAGCAGGAAGCTCAGAGATAGAACAGATGTTACAGTTGATATCAGTGGCTCAAGAGCATAATCAAGAACCAAGATTCCTTCTACCTCTCATTTTGCTTCAGCCTAAAGCTGGCCCTCCTAGGTCATAGATGCCAGGAGCGGTAGGGGTTCTTTACCTCTCTATTTAAGTCAGTGAGACAGAACACCGTGCATCCCCTCACAATGGAACAAAAACCCTTCCCTTTGGTCTGGTCAGGCCAAGTTAGGTCACATGCTAACTCCTGAATCAATAACAATCACTAGGTGAATACTATGCAAACAATGGCTTAGGTCTGGGCTCCTGAGCCAATCAATATTAAGAGGGATAAGTTTACTTTGATTGACTTAGCCATTCTGGACCACCCTTAGAATACAGGGTGAAGGGGGAGAATTTCCTAAAGCTGCACTGCTTTTCCTTGATAAGAAGGGATGTAAAGAATGATAGGGATTCAACCATACTGCTGGAACCCTCTTCTACTTTTCCTGCAACTGGCTCCAGGCCTCAGTTTAAATGTCACTACAGAATTGGCTCTCTCCCATTAATCTTTATCCTTGAACCTTTGTTTCTCTTAGCACTTAGTGCAAGCTGTAATTTTATATTGTTCAGTTTACTTGTGAATTGTCAGTCTCCTCCACTGAAATGTTAACTTCCTGGGGTCAGAGACCATGTCTATTTTGTTCATCATTGAATACTCAGTGCCTAGAAGTGTTTGGCACATAATAGACGTACAGTTAATATTTGATGAAGAAATGAATGAACTCAGGAATAGTACCTTCCTTTCTCACCGAGTCTCCAAAATATATTTTGAAGCTGCACACTGCCATTTCTGCTGCCACCATTTCAGCTCAAGTAGCTATCTTCTCTCCTTTATGCAATGGACATCTTTTGTTTTATCTGTCTACATTTTCCTTTCTTGGGGAACAAACTCCCTTTCTTTGATAAACCTGTTCCTTCCCCATACTAATCATGTGTTTCTAGTGGGGCTATTTATATCCTGCCATTATATCCTGCCCAACACTTATCTCCCTACCACAAGGGTAGAAACCCAACCTATCAGAGTCCTATCCTGGAATTTTAAAAACTAAAACTAAAGGAAGAGATTCAGACCCTCTCTCAGGCAAGCTATGAGATGTGAAGGGAGGTACCATAGGTGCCCATTTACTGTCAAGGGATCTGGGACAGAGAAGATGAAACAAAGATAAGAGACATGGAGGCCTTCCCTGTTACCTGTGGCTCTTGATGGGTTAGCTTGAGGGAGCAGGGCCTTAGGGCCTTCATACATACTATCCCCTCTCCTGAAATGTTCTCCCTGCCTCTCTTCCGTTGGCCTGGCTGACTCCTCATCTTTTGCCTCAGCTCAAATGTCACTTGCTTCACTTCCCTAATCAAAGTTAAGGTCTTCAGGTATACTCCCTTCACAGAACTAGCAGTACTATGATTTCTTACCAGGACAGGTAGAAGAACTGTTCACAGTCTTCATTCAGATCATATTGAGACCTGTTTTGATGGGTAGGTGCTTTTGCTGTGTACCCTGTTAAATATTTTTAATATCATCCTTGCATAGAATCTGTTATCTTTTTTCACAATCAATTTGCATATATACACAAGCTGTTTCCTGTCTACACTATATGTTCTATATATATTTTTTTGCTTTTATCGTCATTGTATACCTAATGTCTAAACAATAGTTGGCACATAGTTGGTGCACAACACAGTATGTGTTGAAAGAATGAGTGAATTTTTTGGGCAACTCCTGGAAAAATTAGACTGGAGGGGTGTGGCAACCAGTCCAGGTTCTGACAGAATTGGAAACAGAGTCTTGGTCATGGGGTAACGTGGGGTGAGTTGAAAAGAGGAGACTGGTTATAAGGCTGTTCTACTCTCTCACCCACCTGAGATGCTGGAGTTGATAAGGAGGTAACAGGTGCCAAAGAGGACTTGCTTACTCATTCTATAATATTTCACTCACAGTGTGGCTTGGTTTTCCCCATGGGGCTGGTTCTGTGGTCTCTTTACATGCAAGGGGACCCAAGTGGCTTGGCTCCATTGGTTCCCACTGGAGCCAGATAGCCCAAATTCTGCTTATGAACTGTGGTCAAACTGCTGCTGAAGGTCTGCAGGTGATGTCCCCACCCTTCAAGTCAGTTTCCTCATCTTGCCACTTTGTATCTGGGGTCCTTAAATCCTGCCTTACCTCCTTCTCCGTTCCAGAGCCTTAGGTCCTTGTTCTCTATAATTTATTCCCTCTCAATTTTGTGATGAGTTTAAATGGAGGTATTTTCCCTCCCCTTTGGCTACTGGCCAGCTTCAGTTCTTTACCACATGGGCCTCTCATGAAATGGCAGCTGGCTTCCCCCAGAGCCAGTGATCCAAGAGAGAGAGGAAAGCAGAAGCCATGATTTAGCATCAGAAGTGACATATCAGGGGTGCCTGGGTGGCTCAGCTGGTTAAGTGTCTGCCTTTGGCTCAGGTCATGATGCTGGGGTCCTGGGATTGAGTCCCACATCGGGCTCCCTGCTCATTGGGGAGACTGCTTCTCCCTCTCCCTCTGCTCCTCCCTCAGCTTGTGCTCTCTCTGTGAAATAAAATCTTAAAAAAAAAAAGTGACATATCATCACTTCTGCCATATTCTATTGGTCACACAGACCAACCCTGATTCAGTGTGGCAGAGGACTTCACAAGGATATAAATACCAGGAGGGAGGAATCACTGGTGGCCATTTTAGAGACTGGCTACCTCAGAAGGGTTAGAGGAATTTAGAGAAGGAAAAGAAAGTTTTAGGACTTGGAGGGGGATGGAGGAGACATTAACTGAATGCCTATTATGGGCCAAGCCCCCACCCTTTTTTTTTTTTAAGATTTTATTTATTTATTTGACAGAGAGAGACACAGCAAGAGAGGGAACACAAGCAGGGGGAGTGGGAGAAGGAGAAGCAGGCTTCCTGCAGAGCAGGGAGCCTGGTGCGGGGCTCCATCCCAGGACCCTGGGATCATGACCTGAGCCATAAGGCAGATGCTTAATGACTGAGCCACCCAGGCGCCCCATGGGCCAAGCCCTTTGTATCTGTATTAATCTCTTCCACAACATTAAGGGGTAGAGATTATTCCCATTTTTCATATAAAGGAATTGAAGCATGGAGAAAATAAGTGTCTAAAATCAAATCCAGTAAGTTGCCAGAGTGAGGATTTGTATGTTATGTATGCCACCAATGTTGATCTAGTACATTTAATATGTACCAAAGGGTGGGACATATGCTACTTGTGGTATGAGAAGCAACTTTAGGTAGTAGAAAGACATAGCATTAAATAACATTGAAAATATAAACATTATTTTTAATCCTCTGTATCAAGAGAAAGCTTCAGTTTCAAAGACTTATTTACCTCTCTAAAACTTGTTAATTTATCTTTTTTAAGAAAGGGCAGGCCCCAGGCTCAGCATCTTTGACAATGATATTACTTTGGTAGAATTTGATAATATATTTCATTTTCATTGTATTGACTTTTAAAGTTACTTTCTGTTTGTAGTCAGGTGATACTGATTTTAAATTTACTAAAGGATTATATGAAGTTTGATTTGTAGCTTTTATTTAAGTTTGGTACATTTTAAATAATAGTAGTTCAAGTGATACTTTGGTATGGCAAAAACTGTGAGGATGGCACTGAGGTTTATTGCCTTCCCATCAGGTCTATGTTGAGGGTAAAGCTAGTCTGAAGTTCCAGCCTCAACTCGGTTCTGCTATGAGCACCAACTGGGGAGAATCATATTATAAAATTTACAAACAGTCCTTTCCTGTGATATTTCCTAAGCATTTCTCCTTTATCCAATGAATTCCTCAGGACTGGTGGGAAGTCTTGTAGACAGTGGAGCTGGGAAGGAGAATTGAGTTTAGTGCCTACGTTTCCTGCTCTATTCAACTGTCTTTTAACAAACACATCTTACAGATGTGGCTGGTGCAGGCAGTATAGTGGAGAAAAGTCCGGAGGGAGAAATGTACATAGTATTTCCCAGTTTCTTAGTCCCTGATCCAACTAAATAGTCTGTGATTTTAGGGTCCTCCAAAACTTCCAAGCTATTACTTCTTCCCATTTAATACTTCTGTGGGAAACGAACAGGACCAAGTTCGTTTTACGACCAAGTTCGTTTTCGGACCAAAGTTTTAGGACACCCGGGATGTGGCTGCTAGTTTCTATGGGAGGTGTTTGCGGTGAGGGTACAATGTGGTTGGAAGGGGGTTTCTGAAAGTTACGTTTGTACCTGACTTTACCTTATAGGTGAACAATTCGTGTCTAAATAGCTGGTTAGTGGGGGATAAATCCCAAAGAACAGGGCCAAGTACTGATAATTAGGAAGTCCCAGAGTCCCGATAATACAGAAGAGACTAAACCATTTCGGCCTCACAAAACCCCGCCCTCCGTCCCCTACCGTTCCCCTTGGGCGAATTTGTCGGTGTCCCAAACGGTCCCCGCATGAGATCACTCCGCCAAGTCACGTGCTCGAGTCCGCGGAAACGCCACATCGCCAGCCGCACCCCTCCACCCCCACCCTGCCCACGTGACCCGGCCTACTTTCTCCCCGCCCGACCCAACGCCTTGCTCAGGAAGCCCCGCCCCACGCAGCGCACTCGGCCGGCGAACCTCCGCCCCATATCCGCCAGTGCTGGAGCGTGGCCCGCAGCCCCACGTGTTTCCTTCTGCCCAATGAGAGACTGAGCCCGGGCTCAAAGGGGCGGGGAGGAAAGGACGACTTCGTTACGCTTGGAGAAGGGGGCGGGGCCTGCAACGTCGGACAGAACGAGGGGACGCAACGGAGGCAGGCCGGAGCCGCTGCCGTCGCCATGACCCGTGAGCACCGAGACCCTCTCTTCTTACCTCTTTCTCCCCGTCGGCCCTAAACACTACTGCCCGATCTTGGCACTTACCTCCTCTTGGCTTCTCCAGCGACGCCTTCCTCTGGAAGCGCTCTTTGAGACCCTCACACTCGGCGCCGGAAATCGGCCTTTTGCCCACCGCCACTTCTTGAGAACGCCCTCCCCCTTCTCCCGCCCCAGTCAAGCAAAGGCCCTCCGCGACCTTCCGCGGTGTGGCGAGAAGCCCCGCACCCTTGTGATAGGCCCGAGCCCCCTACTCCAGATCGCAGCCCATCCGTCAGAGACCCAAACTGTCCACACATCACCACCAGTCTGGACCCCCGTGCCGCCCCGAAACTAGAAACACGCCTTTAGCGGACTCCTCGGAACCGTCCTCCTTCCACCTCCCGGTTTGACCTGCCCCGTGGCAGCTTGCCACCAGTGGCCCCCCATTCCCCCGCCCCACTCAGCAGCCTAGGCCCCGAAATGGGCCGGTGTCGGGACTGGGAAATGAGCGTTGGACCCTGCTGGTGTCCGGGTGAGGGAGGAGGGTCGCCGGTGTGTGGCCATAAAGGCCCCCCGCGTCTCACCTTTTACCTTCTTTCTTTAGGCGGTAACCAGCGCGAGCTCGCCCGCCAGAAGAATATGAAAAAGCAGAGTGACTCGGTTAAGGGAAAGCGCCGAGATGACGGGCTTTCTGCTGCCGCCCGCAAGCAGAGGTAGCCCCAGGGAGGGGAGGGGATGGGAGGGGAGGGGTGAGACCTGGGCTAGACCGAGGGTTGTACCAGGAAAGAGAGCCACCTCAGGGTTTACATCTGGACTAGTGAGGGGTTAGAGTGCATTGCTTCCTCTAGGGTTTTATTTCCTCCCCACCCTCCAAATTGTTAGCTCACAGCCTGACAGGAAGGGACTGGGGCGGGTGCCTGCCCTCGGTTGATTTCTGAGTGCCCCGAGTCTGACCTTAAGGGCAAGGGCAGGGAGCTTCACATTTCAAACGCAGTAGTGGTTATGACAGCAGGGTACTTACGGCCCTCTTTGGTGTTCAGTTTCTCCTCCCTTCTCCCAACCTTCTCACTGGTGTTGCTGGGTGTGGTACTCAGCAAAGAATAGCCTTGGGCCTGTGTGGCCAGACTTCTGACCCCTTAGGCAACAGCCAGATAGAGACTGACTGCCTTTTAAGCCTCAGCTCTCTTCCTCTTGTTCTCCTAGGGTGGGAATACGGCAGGCACACGCTGAATTTTGTCCCATCCACTTCCATCTTATCCTTTGTGCCCTTCATCCCCCTGCATCTTGTCCTTTTTGCCCTCTGGTACCTCCCAGTGCCCCATCATCTCTACCCCCAGGGACTCGGAGATCATGCAGCAGAAGCAGAAAAAGGCAAACGAGAAGAAGGAGGAACCCAAGTAGCTTTGTGGCTTCGTGTCCAACCCTCTTGCCCTTCGCCTGTGTGCCTGGAGCCAGTCCCACCACGCTCGCGTTTTCTCCTGTAGTGCTCACAGGTCCCAGCACCGATGGCATTCCCTTTGCCCTGAGTCTGCAGCGGGTCCCTTTTGTGCTTCCTTCCCCTCAGGTAGCCTCTCTTCCCCTGGGCCACGCCTGGGGGTGAGGGGGTTACCCCTTCCCAGTGTTTTTTATTCCTGTGGGGCTCACCCCAAAGTATTAAAAGTAGCTTTGTAATTTCTTGAGCGCCTGGTTTGACTGGGGATTTGGGGGGACGGGGATGGAGGAATGGCTGCCCTTTCCCACCAAAAGGGGAGAGAATTGTAGATTTTAAAAGGTTGTAGATACGTAGACTAAATGAAACATCAGAGAACTTCCTTATTTTACTACAACAAACAGACAAGTACTCCAGGTATGTGGTAGAGAAATCCTCTAAGAACCATAGGAACTTCTTTTCTGTGATTTTTGTCCCCCACCCAGACCTTGATCACCATCCCAAGGATGGAGTTGAGGGTCTAAGAAGGAAGGCTTCAAGACCTAGGTTTATGCCCCTCTTTCTCATTCTTCCGCATTTTGCTCGCCTGCTTGGAAGTTGGCCCCCAAATTCTGCTGCTCACTGACTTCCCATGGTTAGCTGCTCTCTAGTGTTCACATTCTCTTCTGTCATTCTTTATGGAATGAGGGTGGTTTTTGTCTTCCCACTTCCTTTGACCTCAAGATCAGGATTAAAACTTAGGGTGGTCTCTATATTCTTTCTTTCTGTGTCCTGGTTTGTTCTGGGCTGCTTATCTCCCTGTGCCCAGGGCTGAACTGCTTATTTTCCTTTTTATCTCCAAGGGCAGAGCCAAGTAAGTCTTCAGTCCCTATTGGTCTTTCCCTGCCCCCATCTCCACCGTGAGAGCCAGGAAAGGGCTGGTGCCGCACTGTCTGCACGGATCAGCAGTGGTTCCTGAGAGGCTGACTTGGGAGTTAGGTTCTTGAGCTGGGGTAAAGATCTAACAGTAGCTCTATTGAGTCAGACACTCTGCCCATGGCGTTAGAATATGTATGGTCACTTTCTCCTGTTCAGACATAGTACTGACTTCAGTCTAAAGGGAGATAACTGCCCATTTTGTCCTTGAGGTATCTGCTCGGCTGGGCAGTTCCTGAGTCAAGACTGGGAGTATGACCTCAAGGGAACCCCAGTTAACAGTACCTAGACTGAATATTTGTTATCTTGCAGTATTTATGCGATGGCAGTGTCGCCTGAAAGTAGGAGGTGGCTGGGAGTCCTGGGTGGGGGACCAACAGAGTGGTACCAGTAGAAGCCCAAGATAGAGGAGTACACAGGCCCAGCACGAGGCAACCTTGACCCAGAAGGTAGCTCAGCTACCCTTGATGAAGGTCTTTTCCAGTTCTGCTCCCTCATAGCTGTGGAACCAAAGTCTCTGGTTAGAGAATACATAGGACCTTAGCTTGCAGACCTGTTCCTGCCTCCCCACCAAAGATGATGGTGGACCTATGTGTGTCTCCTGAGAACCCTTAGGAATGGCCTTAAATTGCTCTCCCTAAAATAGGTTTTCAGGAGTATATCCCAGGCCCACTTCCATCCTACCTGAACCAGTTGGTAAGGGTAACCATGACATAGAGTGATGCAAGGAAGAAGACAAAATGGAAGGCAGAATAGCTGTAGGAGAGATGCTGGGCTTGCACTGGAGGAGCTGGAGAGGTCTCTTGGTCAGCTGGCCTGGCAGCTCTACCCCTCTGTCCTGGAGAGAGAGGGAAGGACTGCTGGGAGCAGTGTGGCTGAAACTTCTTCCCTCCTCCCCCAGTTTCTTTTGTGAAGGCGCTCCAGGGCTCTTTGGCACTCTGCAGAAATCTACACATTTTTAGGGACATTCTTAATGACATTTACCTTCCTTTGGTTTCACTGTTTCAGGGCAGCAGAAACATTGAGGGCTTTTGTAAAACAAAAGGCAGCATGTTTTGGAATGACTTTAAAGAAAGAATGTTAGGGTATTACAGGAAAATCCCCTTTGAAATGATTAGTCTGGTGTAAAAAGTGGAGGCACATCTGGGTTCAAATTCTAGCTCCAGCATATAACTGGCTATGAAAACTTTGGTAAGATGTTTAACTTTTTGTGCCTCAATTTCTCCATTTGTAAAATGGAGCAAATACCTACCTCACAGGGTTGTTGTGAGGATTAAATTAAATGAGATTATGAATGTAAAGTATCTAGCACAGTGCTTAGCACATTGTGGGTACTTAATAAAAGGTAATAGCAGCTAGAATCTGAGCATTCTGGGTAGAGGTTGGTAGGATGTGTGTGTGTCTTTGTGTGTCAGGGGGGAAGGGCATTGGGGATATTGAGCTCTCCATCCTCACCTGGAACTCATAGCTGTAAACCTTGACAGTCCATAGGGGTCCAAATACCTCAGCCAGGTAGGAAGCCTCATTGCTGAGAAAGAAGAGACAGTTCTCAAGTGCGTCCAGTCAAATAGCAGGAGGGGTTGCCTGAGAACATGTACTGCTAGTTGGTCCATATTGGTAGTCCTCAGGAGGGTATTATATTCCCAGAGCCTGTTTCCCCCAAATATTTATAAATCTCGTCATGTGAAGGCCCTAAAACCTTTGTACATATTTTTAATTCTCAAGTCATTCTCCCTGCCCCCTTCATCCAATACAGATCATCTGACAAGTGCTATTCTTAGAAATTGTTTCTGTTTATGGGGAACTTTCCTCACTCTTGTCTTGCTCTAAAGTTCAAATAAACCATGGTCCCAGACAGTCTCCTGACCATCCTTCTCTGTCCTGGGTATCCTCCCTTCTCTCACACCTCTCCCCTTGATACCTTTACGCACCAAGCAAAAAGGACACAAATATACATGATGCCAGCACTTAGCACTGCCAGAGAAGTATCTGGTTGCGATTCCATTTTACTCAGGCCAGTCAAGCACAAAGTGTGATTTTGTCCTTGAAGGATTACTGAGAAGGGGCAACAGAAGAAAGGTGGTAAGAACAAAGAGCTAAGTATTTGTCAGGAACAAAAAAAGGTTTTAGCATGGGGAATCTAGGTCCAGTCCTTACCACTCTCTGGAGGACGGCTGGACAGTGCAGAGAAAGTCAGGTACATGATACAGCAGCTGATGATGGAGGCTTGTAGAAGGCCAGAACGGGGTTGCTCTGGGTAGAGTGGAGATCATTGCTTTTGTCTACAGGGTGGTAATTTCTTCTACTCATACTCGTATTTATGCTTCTCCTCACCCTTTTGAGGAAGCAGACGGTTGACTAAGATTAGGGAAGCTAATGAATTTTTCTATTACTAAAGACCTACCAGATTTGGAATGTTGCAAGGCATGTACCCACTGAGGCGGATGCAGGGAGTGATGGAGAGGAAGGAGGCCACAGAAACAAAGGTGTAGACCAAGCAGCATCTTGTTGAGCAGGCAGCCAGCTGGGTGTGTGTAGTGGCGGTACAGGAGCACAGCTGCCACACCTGCCATGCTGTAGAATCCCAGGGTGGCCAGCAGTACAGCTAGGAACCAGTGGCAGTCTTGGGCTGCACCAGTCTGCCTAAAGGGTGGGAGGTGGGCAGTGGCTTGGGGCTCCACCTCTACCTATTACTATTCCCCCTCTCCCAGAACACTGGTGTGACTACCCATCACACCTAGCCCACAGAGTTATCGTGTTTCTGAGCTTTTTGGTACTGATCAGTGGGAAGTTATGGGACCGCTGACCTGTCATGCCCTTTGTCCAACCACACTGGGTTGGACAACCTTCCCAGGTCAGACAACCTTCCCAGGAAGAGCCTTTAGGATTAGGTGCTCCTTACCAATTTTTGTTCCAGGAATGGGCAAAGGCTGTGATAAGCACCAACTGCAGCAGGATGAATGTGAAGCCTCCACAGATGCCAATGTAATGCCAGGCTGCAAATGGGGGGCACCAGTGGGAAAATGTAGCTGACCATGTCATCACTCCTGGTTTTCTTCCTACCCTCTCTTTTTCTTAGAAAATCTATTAGCTTACTCCTGCTGATTAGGATATGAGATGGAAGGTACCTGGGAAGAGATGCTCATCCGGGATGCAGAAGGCAACAGCACAGAGACCTAGCAGGAACAGCAGTTTGAGGAGCCAGAAGCTGGTTAGGAGACAAAAAAAGACTCAAGAAAAGGCAAAAGAGAGTCAACAGTGCCTATGGAGGAAGGCAAAGGAGAAAGCAAAACTATAGGAAAGGGGAGAGAAGAAACTAGTATAGGAAAGGAGGAACCAGTCCCACCACAGCCTATTCCAAATTCTAACTCTCAGATACCTAAATAATAACATCTGGACAATGTTTCACAGTTGACAAAGGGTTGCATATAATAACCCCACTGTTATCTCCATTTTAGAAACTAGAAGTTCAAAGAGGGTAAGTATGTGGCTCATGGTCACACAGTAAGTATGGCGGAAGCAGGAACTTAAAACTGGTTTTGGACTTTTTACACACTGTTACTTCATCTTGGAATTTCCTTTACTCAGCTTATGTCTATTTCCCTCCCCATCCTCACCCCACCCAAAATGTATATACACAAACCTATTATGGAGCTGTGCACATAGACTAGTGGGGGAGTGGAGCTGCACTAGCAGCACAGCCTGCAGCAAGTGGAAGGTGGCAGTTCCTGCACATACTCGGTACACAGCTCCAGAGCCACTGAGCACTGGGCAGTGAGGGTGGCCAAACAGATGGGCACACAACCCTGAGGGCATGTGGATCTGGAGGGAGAGTGCATGTGAGAAATGGCAGGGCAAATCATCATGTATAGAGAGGTACCTGCTTCTCAGGGTATATCCATTCACTTGTCCCCTATCCCCAATCTGAATCTTTTGTCTGAAGGTTTCTTCTTTTTCCCTTTCTCCTGTTGGAACCTGAACCCTCCCACTTACCCCATATGCCTTCCCCCAGACCCTTTCCACTACTGTCCTTGACAGCAGGAGGCAGCAGACTGCTGAGGACCCCACATGGAGGAGGATGTAGACCAGACGGCTACAAGTAGACTCTGTGACAAGGGGCCATCTAGAATGGCAGCAGCAGGTACAGGGAACAGGCCCACAAGAGGACACCTGGGGGTAGAGCAGCAAGATAGAGATTTACTGAGGAAAAGTGTACATTAACGTATGCATTAGGTTAACCCATGAGGCTGAATCCCAAAATTTCCCTTTCCCTTTTCTTCTCTCCTTTTACTCAGGAATTCTCAGAATCTGGTTCCAAGCTATTTAGGATTGCCTTCCACTGACATCAAGTAGAGCTTTCATCATAAGAGCTGATGCAGGCTTGAGCAGACCTTCCTAAAAGCCTAAGTCACACCTGGCCTCTCACCTTTCTGTAGACCTACAGATCTGGTATTGGGAAGTGGGAGGAGAGGTTTAATGATCAGTAGTCTCAGGCAAAGAAACGGAAAGGCCTCAGAGGAGAAAGGAAGGCCTGTCATTTTTATTGGCTCCTGTGGGTTTTACTACCCAGCTTCAGCTACCATTCCCTTCCATTTTTTTTTCAGATAGTTTGCTCTGGGGACCTTTCAAGCCCTTCTGCCCAACTATGCTCTCACCTGGTAGAAGGGAGGATTCACCATGACACTTCTGACTTTAGTGCGTTGTGCCAGGCTGAGGGAGGTGCTGGGGCCTGTAACAGCCTTTGCACCCACCATCCTTGTCCCAGGGATCAGGCCCAGGTCCACCAGATGGAAGGTAGAGGAGAAAGTAGCAGCTTTCTTTTGTCCTCAGCCATGGGCTGCCACAGTGCCGGGGTGGTCACCCAGTCTAAGGCATAATGGGGAGGAACATCAGGAAAAGAACATCGACCTCCAGGATGTGGTAAATGCAAATGTATCTCTGTAAAGCTACTTTCTCTCCAGGGCCTTTGGGCCACACGGGCTGTTCTCCCCAGATTAGAGAGCAGTTTGCAAATCTGGCCTCTAGTGGATTAGCATTCCTAATTGGTTTAGGATTAGACGTCATCCATCCTGGTTGAACAGAATGATGGGGGCAGGCGGGACGGGATGGAGTGGGTAGAATCTAGGTGAAGAGAAGGTAAGGATGTCGGTTGGGAAGGTCTGGAGTGGTGATGGGCTAGGTGTGGGAGAGGACCTTGCATAAAACAACACTGAAATCCCCCAAAGGAAGTCTGAGAGGCGACTGACTTTCCTGGCTGAAGTTTCTAGAACCCAGAACATTAGTGAAGGTGTGGCCCGAGGCCAGCCCCGCCTCATCCTCTCCGGGCGGAAGTCTCGGGGCAGTTACCGGAAGTCTTCATGAGGTGGGGCGGGGCCTGTGCAGCGGCACGGTGGGATCGATATGGCTACCGAGGGGGATGTGGAGCTGGAGTTGGAGACCGAGACCAGCGGCCCGGAGCGGCCTCCCGAGAAGCCACGGAAGCATGACAGCGGTGCGGCGGATCTGGAGAGAGTCACCGACTACGCGGAGGAGAAGGAGATCCAGAGTTCCAACCTGGAGACGGTGAGGTTGGCCGTGAGCGTGTCTGGGCGGGCTGAGAGCGGAGGGGCCTCTCACGTTGTAACTGGAATCCCCGCTCCAGGACGGGCCGTTCTTCCCGTTGGCGGGAGGAGGCAAGAGGGAAACCGTCACTGGAGCCCGCCGCTTGCGAAAGGGAGCTTTATGGAGATTGTATTTAAAGTGGCCCTCGGGTGCACAGAATTGAGTTAAACCTAGGCCTTGGTTCCTGATACACTCATGAATAGGCTGTTCCCCCCTCCCCCGCGCCGACCCACTTCTTACTGGCTTTTTAGATTATTGGGAATTGTGGGTGGCAGAGCGGTAAGGAGAGTTGTTTTTCTCATAGGCCATGTCCGTGATTGGAGACAGACGGTCCCGGGAGCAGAAAGCCAAACAGGAGCGGTAAGTCTGTACTTAACAGTCAGCCCTACCAGTTTCTCTCTTCCCCTTACGAAAATAAAAGCCATCGTTAAGCCTTGTACCTTGTACGGTTCTTCAACTCTGTCATCGATTTCTGCATATATAAGGTTTACAACCCTACTTTGTTGTTGGTGGAAGGAAAGGCCTGACAGCACCTGCTGCCTGCTTTAAAGACTCAAGAGGGGGGATGGGGATGTTAGGTGAGGGGGTGAGAGTCATTTTGTATTTTCACTCAACAGTGTTTGTCAGGAGTCATTTATTTGTAAGGCAGAGCTGGAATGATCTGAGGGTTAATGGTGGAGGTAGAGAATGAGGACTAATGTACATAAATATTTGCAGGGAGAAGGAACTGGCCAAAGTCACCATTAAGAAGGAAGATCTGGAGCTGATAGTGAGTAGTAATGCCTAACTAGTGTATGGGCAGAGGTTACATTGCTTAATCGGTGTTGTTTACTGAAACAAGTAGAGTCAACAAGTCTTGGTGGCATTTTAATGTCCCAGAAGACTTAGGTAACATCATTGATCCTTTTCCTGCAGATGACAGAGATGGAGATCTCAAGAGCAGCAGCAGAACGGAGCTTGAGGGAACACATGGGCAACGTGGTAGAGGCTCTTATTGCCCTAACCAACTGATTTGTGCTTTCTCAGACACACTCACTGGATTATTTTATTTCAATAAAGATGTAGCCTTTTTTTTTGCAGTTATATCATCTTGGAACAAGTGTTATGTATATTATACTGTATTTTATTGTGAGAAATTTACATGTTGGAGTATAACTGAATTTAAGCAACTCTCCCCCACCCCCCAGGCCTTAATGAAATCATGTGAAGGATCATTGTAGTATGGTACCTCATGACCTCATGTTCACATGCAGATCCTAGGTGGCAGGCCAGGCTCATTCATCTGACTAGCTTTCAGTGGTATTCAGGGTACATTTGGAATTTCAGCAAAGTTGCCGAAGCCCATGGCATGGGTCTCTAGGGTGGTTTATATACCACCAGTCTTGTTCATAAGCCACTTTTTTAAAACGTTTTTTTAAGAGAGTGCATGGTGGGGGTGGGTGTTGGGGGGGAGAGGGAGAGAGAGAATCCCAAGCAGGCTCCACACCCAGCATGGATCCTGACACGGGGCTCGATCTCATGATCCTGATATCATGACCTGAGCCAAAATCAAGAGCTGGGTGCTTAACCGACTGAGCGACCCAGGCACACTATTCATAAGCCCCTTAGAGTTAGAATTTAGGTACCAAATTGGAAACATGGTAAATACAATAAAAGATATCAAAGGTTAGGTCTTTTGCAGAATTAATCTATGAAAGACTTTGATTTATGAAGTTGATTTAATTGAATTCTGAACCGCCACAACACTGTGCCTTACATTCCATTTCCTATCCTGGAGAGAAGACAATTTTACTTTAAAAGTTGATCAACCTTTGGCCAAGTCATCCTTGCTGAGCTTCTGTTTCCCCAACTGTAAAATGATAAATACCTGATAGGTTGTTTTAAGAACTTAAAGAGTTGGTGAATGTGAAAAGCTTGGACTAATACCTGCCTCAGAGTGGACATTCAGATATCAGCTATAAACATATTCTTAAAAGAATTTCAATATCTTATTCTCATTTTGGCTCTAGGAAAATCTTAGATTGTATCCCTCTGGCACACACATAAGGGTGACTTATACTCAGATTAATGTGTTTATTACCTCCTAGTAATTTGTATTCGTATTTTTACTTTAGGACATGAAAAGATTTGTGAATGCTTCTTCCAGTGGGGCATTTAAAAGATGGTGAAAAGACCTTGACCATCTCATTTTTTTATGTAATTGAGAAATAGTCTTCCCACTGATTAAACGTCATTCCTTATAACCCCTAGGACTCCTAGTGCTCTGCCATGTGCATGGTGGTTATGTAGTAAATATTAAGTGGAAAACCACTGAATTTAACTCTAGTTTGATGTCATTACATTGCAACTTGGAAAACACTATACCCTCCTCGATGTATATATACAAGCTGAGTGTGGAGGGTACTGGTAAGTACTTGGCTTCCCTATTTCATAAGTCAACTTTTGTTCTAAAAACAGCTGTATTTTAGAGAGCAAAGAAAACCATACATATATCTGCTCATGGAGTAAATCTGGGTGCCACTTAGAATATAGCCTGTCCAGCATCTTAGTTTCTGAGATCAAAGGTGATGATCCGAATGTGAAACACTCTTTGCCCAACAGTTCTCTGCGGTTTTTTATTTCATAGGAAGATTCTTGTCAGCCTGCACATTTTATTTCCAGTATCAAACCTCTTGGTGTAGGATTCTTTTTTTTAAAGATTATTTATGAGAGAGAGCAGGGCGCAGGCGCAGAGGGAGAGAGAATCTGAAGCCAACTCTGAGCTGAGCACGGAGCACAACGTGGGGCTTGATCCCACGACCATGAGATCATGACCTGAGCTGAAACCAAGAGTCGGATGCTTAACTGACTGAGCTACCCAGGCGCCCTGGGTGTATGATTCTTTTATTTCTTAAACACACATAAATGGATCAAAAAATATGTTCACATAGAAAAACTGACTCCAACCAAAAATGAAAAACAGATATCCGTGAGCTGAGATTTACTGTAAGGTAGCGTTGTCCACTTACATGCCCTTGTTTCTAACCCAAGCTAAGAGGCTGGAAAAAGAAACCTGGAATAGTTCCAAGTGAATCTGGGAAGCAGAGCAGTGATGAAACGTAAGATTTCTCAGAAATGGTTTTAAGTGGGGAGCCTCTGATCCTACCTGGGTAGTGCTTTTCTGTGGGTTTCTCAGCATGAGTCCAAACCTCACAAAGCACCTTCAAAGACTGGACTGCCCAGTGTCACAAGTATGGCAGTAGGTCCAATAGGCTGGATACAGGGGCCATGTAAATAGTGGTAAAAGCAAATCAAGGACCAGATGCTGAGACAGTCCCTTGTGTCTCACCAGCTGGAAGTAGTTGAACTCTAAGTAGTTTTCCGCTTCTTGGCAGATGGCCGTTCAAATACATCACGTACCCCAGCTGCCTTTTGTTTAAAGAACTTTGTGTTCTGGGCACTCTCTTGGCCCCATGCTGAGTCAAAAGAGGTGGTGTCCTGATCCACAAGGTGGGTGTACTTGGTGCGACCAGAGCGCCCGAAGTTCTTGACCTGATCAAGGAAGGGTAGATTATGAGTTATACCACCAAACATCAAGTCCTCAATACATAACTTTTCTCTCTCATGTTCTTAAGGTACCCCATACCTGCATGACTTTGGGAAGAATGGTTTTGTTGAAATGATCCTCCAGGGTAGGTGCACTGAAATCTCTCTTGTATACTTCTTCATCCTCATCCTGTAAAAAGAGTATTATTAATCTTGTGGTTTTTATTGCCTATCTTCAAACCACTAATTTATTAACCTCTATGACAAGGGATACAAAGAACAAAGGTACTGAAACTTTTCAAGAGCTTACATCTAGTTGAGATGATACTCCCTTTTCTCTTTGTATTATCTTTTTTCTTCCTAAATGTGGACGTTTCCTGAAGGTTGGCTGTATTCTCTCTGTACTCAATATGTTCATTCAGTCATATGACTTCAACTCTGTAGAAGCCTCTCAAATCTCATCCTGAATTTTCTACTGCCCATTATATAGCTTAGCTTGGATATTCTGTTGGGACTTCAGACTCATACCTAAAGTGAAAATCATTTCCCTAACCTTTTCAAACCAGGCTCTTCCTGATTTAACTTCTTCTGTCAATAGGACCAACATTTTCTTAATTACCCAGGTTCAAAATTTACATAAAACTTTGTGCATGATGAGTTGCCACTTATAAATTCTAATTCCCTGGGTTATTATAGTTTTTCCCTAGAATCAACCTTACACAGTGCCACTAGACTAATGTTTCTAAAACACACCTTCATACCTCTGCCTTGCTCAAAAACTTCCAGTGATTCTGTTTTGTTAAATAAGCACAACTCCTCTATAGTAGTCAAGGCCAAATAACATATATATGATACAATAACATATAGCTGTAATCTACCTCTCCTTGCCAACTCCCTTTACAGATGATGCTTTTTGCCTCCACTCCTAGTCCCTTCACCTGGAATGTCTTTCTACTACTGAAGTCAGCAAGTCTACACATCTTAAATGTGCCCTCCCTTCATGTTATCCCTCTCCATCTCCTACAAAGTAAAGCATCTCCCTTTTCAGAAATCCCACAGTATTTTCACTCGTCCTTATGTCATAGTATATGTTTGCCTTAGCCCCATTTTTAGGTTGTAAGCCATCTGAGGGCAATAATTTTATATCCTATAGCAGTATCAAACAGTAGTGTTCTTGGGGCTCCTGGTTGGCTCAGCTGGTAGAGCATGCTTTTTTTTTTTTTTTTTTTAAGGGGGGGGAGACAGAGAGGGGCGGGGGGGGGGGAGGGGGGGGGGGGAGAGGGAGAGAGAGAATCCCAAGCAGGCTCCACGTCCAGAGGAGAGCCCAACATGGGACTCGATCTCACTTGATCATGACGTGAGCTGAAATCAAGAGTTGGACACTCAACCGACTAAGCCACCCAGGTGCCCCTAGACCATGCAACTCTTAATGTCAGGGTTGTGAGTTCAACGGTGGGCTCTGCATGGAGCCTACTTAAAACAAAAAATGGGTGTCTAAGTCGCAGTTGGTTAGGCGTCTGACTCTGGGTTTCGGCTTAGGTCATGATCTCAGGTTTGTGAGATCGAGCCCCACATTGGGCTATGCACTCAGTGCGAAGTCTGCTTGAGGTTCTTTCTCCCTCTCCCTCTGCCCCTCCTGCTCGTGCTTTCTCTAAAATAAACAAAAAATCTTTAAACCACTCCCCTCAAACCAAAAACCAGGAGTGCCCTTTACACAGTAAATGCTCAAAAGGTTATTTACTTAATAAACTATACATAAAAAAATTACAGAGAAGTTGCAAATCAACATACTAGTAAAACTATAATGTTATGATACAAATTATACATGTGGTGAAGGAATTAAAACAGTACCATTTTGATTAAGGAAAGCTTTGTGGAACAACTGAGTCCTTCAACCACACACACTTTTGGAGTATTCTCTTCAGCTACAGAAAGGCTTTAAAGGTAAGACAGTTTTTGTGAGACCTACTTTTTTCCTTGTTAGAGGCTGAGTCCCTCATTTAATCTCAGAAGATATTTTATCTTCACTCTCCTTATCCAGATGAGGAGAGTTCATTGAGTATGTGCACCAAAAGACTTTTACATAAACCTTTCCTTATATATCTTAGCCACCAATGCACTGCTTCTCTCAGAAGCTTATTAAAGCTGCTCAAATGTATAAGCAATGATACTTAATGACCTTAAAGCAGTAAAGAAATAATTCATAATCTCCAGTGACTTCAGTCGAGAAAACTGCATGAGCTAGGACACTGTATAATAAGCAAACATTTCCGGCTGAGTAGACTGAAACTGATTTTGGAGGGGAATAAGGAACCCTTCACTGAAGTTAGATTTTACTGGTATCTACAATGAAAGGCAGGAATCTAGCTGCAGTAGGGATTTTAGGGTTTGATATAGCATTTAAAAAAAACAAGTCTACTTTTTGATTCATACTTGGATAGCATCAGGTAGTAATTTAACCAACCACGTGCTATTACAGTAATAAATGTAATCAATTCTTCGCTTCCCTTTCCTGACATCTCTCCATTAACAAATTATCACTGGTATCATCTAAGTAA